CCGAAAAATACGCTAATTTTCGCTAACAGACAAGCTTATTTCTAGTTTGAAAAAAGACAAGCATTTGCTCAAAACATCGTCAAGAAAATATAACTAAAACTCAAGATTTTTTATGAGATTTATTTCCAAAACTGTAATTTCTTTATTTTACCATATTCGCATTTTTTTGTTTCTTCTTTCATACACACACGAGTAACTAGACATGTCTGTGTACCTTTACTCACAAACACGAGTAACTAGACATGTCTGTGTACCTTTACTCACACACACGAGTAACTAGACATGTCTGTGTACCTTTACTCACACACACGAGTAACTAGACATGTCTGTGTACACTGTATACACCACTTTCTTCACGACAAAGTCATCATTTTTCTGAGTAAATCTGGGATATTATACATATCTGTACTGTTCTGTACGCCTTCTTTTCTTAGATGTTGTTACTACACTGTACTGCTTTGTTTCTGTTAAATTAACAGGTGTCGTATGTGTGTCTATTTACTTTCTGACGTTTATAACCATAGTGATGAAGTACAACATGTTGTTAATGTAACACGTACAATGAGATAACCACTTGCTCTCTCTCTTTGTCTACACAAGCAACGGACGTAATAACGCTATTTTTCAAGTGCTACGTACACAACTATCTAAGGTAATTAAGTGCATATAAACATTCAGAGGGTAGTAGCGATCAACCGACCTTTGATCTCGATAGGTTGTAATATTTAGTTCAGAAAGAAAGAGCGTTTTATTAATTTCACCACCCGCACACACCGTTACAAATTATGTAAAGGTTATTTATGTGGATAGGTTTTCTAGATCAGGTTTATGTTTTATATTAAACGTTAAGTTGTCCAGTAGACTATCCTTGCTGTGCTCAAAGCAGCGATCGAGCCCGAAATTTTAGTGTTATTTAGTTCTTAAGATTACGGCTGAACCACCTGGCGACATTCTAGATAGGAGATGAGGATATTATGGTAGAACGACTCGTTTTACAGAAAATGTTCTCTACGTTGCAGTTCATTTTCACAAATTTTCAGCTCCTTCCCTCCACCTTTTTGTTTGGAGAAACTGAGTTCAATTCTACCCAGATTCTTTAAGTCATTCACGTGATAAGCAGGTAGTTTTTTAATAAATTAAAAAGATTGTTTCACTTATTTAACAAACTTGTTAATAAAGACGAAATATGTTTACACGAGCTTAATAATGTGTAGAATCAACAACTCCGCGTTACTAAAATCAGCTATTGAGACTGTCTTTTGTTTACACGAACTTAATAATGTGTAGAATCAACAACTCCGCATTACTAGAATCAGCTATTGAGACTGTCTTTTGTTTACACGAACTTAATAATATGTAGAATCAACAACTCCGCATTACTAGAATCAGCTATTGAGACTGTCTTTTGTTTACACGAACTTAATAATGTGTAGAATCAACAACTCCGCATTACTAGAATCAGCTATTGAGACTGTCTTTTTTTACACGAACTTAATAATGTGTAGAATCAACAACTCCGCGTTACTAAAATCAGCTATTGAGACTGTCTTTTGTTTACACGAACTTAATAATATGTAGAATCAACAACTCCGCATTACTATAATCAGCTATTGAGACTGTCTTTTGTTTACACGAACTTAATAATATGTAGAATCAACAACTCCGCATTACTATAATCAGCTATTGAGAGTGTCTTTTGTTTACACGAACTTAATAATATGTAGAATCAACAACTCCGCATTACTATAATCAGCTATTGAGACTGTCTTTTGTGCTTTCATCTTTTTCTGTCATTAGGTGGACGACACAATGTTTTCCTTCACAGATGCCTTCCTAGTGTTGTACTCGATGACCGACAGAGATAGTTTCGAAGATGCAGGACGAACTCTGGCTCTTTTGCGGTATTTAGGAACAAAATTGACTAAGGATATAATGGGTCCTGTGGGTCCTGATGCTTTTCCAAAAGCTCTCATTCTGGTCGGAAATAAATGCGACTTAGTTCGTAGTAGAGCAGTCACTGAGGAAGGTAACAAATATTTTGTTTCACTTCTGATCAATCAGTAGTTTAATTCTCGCTATTGTTGTCATACATTTTACATACAAGATACAAAGTACTATCTCACCAAAACCTAGTGTAAACAAACAATGTTTTTAACGATAATTGCACTTTCTTTTCTTTCTTTTTTTTTTCTGCCGGAAGAGTCTCTTGAGCTTATAAATCTTCTAACGATTAGCGATTAAAACCTCCTTACACGCTTAACACTGGTAATAGACTTGGCTCTATACTTACTTAACTTACCATGGTTCCACTTTTATAAGAATTTATTATCATAATAGATTTAATATGTTTCTTCTTCTGATATCTCACTAAAGTACTTATGCACAAAAGTTAAACGAAAATGGTAATTCCATCTAAATAATACAAAATACTTAAACTTCCTTTATTCACAATCTTACGACGAGACTTTTGTATATAGTTGATTAATTCACATTTTATGTGTTTATAAGTTCTAGTAGATTATAGTTGAGGAAGCTATCAGTACCGATTTCTAAACGAGCGAGTATTCATAACTTTGTATACCATATTTATTTGTTATTGGGGTAGTTTTGGGGTTGTTATGTAACTTAGTTATATATAACAAACTAACTCTACTCGGAATCACATGGTAATCAAACTTGTAATTTCATCTTGCCATTTTTACAGAGGGCCGAATCTTAGCGAACAAATACAATATTAAGTTCATCGAAACGTCTGTAGCAATAGCGCACAACGTAGATGAACTGCTAGTTGGGATCGTTAGCCAGATCCGTCTGAGGTCGAGTGTAACGAATGACGACAGCCCCATCTACAGGTCAAGACGTCTAAGTGGAAAGGCCCGTGGTTTGATGAGCAAATTTTTACACAAATGTGAACTGAAAGTTAGATCGTGCGATAATCTCTATGTTCTGTGATATTCTAAAAACTGTATCCTAATATGATGATATCTTTGAAGTCATATCATGTGCCTCATTTTTTTAGTGTGATCTTTACAACTGTAGTAATTGATGCAGTTGTATCATGTCAATATATTCTGAAATAAATCTTTACAATGTCTATCTAAGTTTTATCTAAGTATTACCTGCAAAAAAATCACCTTTTCCAAATGAAATCAAAGAAAATATATTGATATTTCAGGATTTCGAGAAACCGTTGAATTTTCGAACTTCGTATGAAACTTTCACATATTTTACAATATCCACAGCCTCAAGCTGCGACTTAACTAATGATCTCTTTATAACCAGATTAAAAACATGTCTTCGTTTTCGTTGTATAGATATAATTCCTATTGTCCTGCGACTCCTTTCAATAAAACTTGACATGGCCTGGTGGTTAGGACACTCGAGGCGCAATCTGTGGGTCGCGGGTTTTAATCCCGTAACCGAATATATTTGCTCTTTCAGGGGGAGTGGAACTAAAATGCGACGGTCAATATCCCACTATTCGTGGGTATAAAAAAAAACAGAACTTGACACTGACTTGCTAACCCTGGTCATTAAAAAAACAAAGAGGAAAAAATCCAACGGTTTTTCAAAAACCTAAAGCATCAAGACATTATATCATAAACTATCCATGATCAAATTCCTTCCGTCTGGCACCTGGTCAAAAATCTATTGAAGCATGTAGTTGATTAATTCACATCTTATGTGTTTATAAGTTCTAATAGATTGTTCATCTAATTGTTTCTTCAAGTTGAGGAAGCTATAGGTACCGATTTCTAAACGAGAGAGTATTCATAACTTAAGACTATTATGTTACGTTTGAGCTGAAGGCCTGAATATTAAACAAACTTATATTGTTAAATTAAGAAATAGTCTGCTGCAGCGGGAGTAGCGAATTAAATTGTAGATTAGGCCTCAACATCATCTTTTCGTTATTGAAGTTCATGGTGTGATGAAGAAAATAAATTAACAAAGAAATAGAAAAACATTGAAGCATACCTACCCACAACATTTAAAATTACAGTATTATCAGGTGTTAAGAAATAACTTTGAATTGTATCTCCAAAATTTTGAAATCTTCAGATGAACTATGCATAATCCGAGTACTCCTCTTTTTGAAAACAAATACCAACTCCCAATTTCACTAAAACTATATTGAGTAAAGCTGATTAATTTCGTTTCCAGAAGCGCTATCGGAAAAGAAACAATAGATAAAAACTGCTCGTTCAAACGTGTCGAACGATCGCTTAGAGATTAAATGAGATATCTTATACGTTTCATTGATTTACTACCAGACGGCGATCCAGGAAATTTATAACACAAACAAGTGCTTTATTTTATGGTCCTATAAATAAAAGTTTTTAATTCAAACCGTCAAAACACAAAATGTTTCTACTTTACTAAATTACTTGTTAGAATTAAAGTTGCACGCGCTTTTTAAAATACCAACAACCTAGCATGACGAACCTTTTCGACATTGTGTACATGACGGAACTATTTTTTTTGGTCTTCAGACGATCATAGTTTTATATTATATCGTTTCTTAATCAGGCGACTGTTCTCTTTAATCACGAACTTGCATGGCTTGGATTCTTTCCGTCTCTCAGTTGCTTGTCTGCTTGAAAACTTGATTACATAATAGAGTAACAGCACAGCAACGTCTGTTAATAATTATACCCGGTGTTTGCTCGCTGGAACAGCCAAACAAATAACAACAAAGTAATACGTTTTAACAGTCATTATGCTAACTCGCTAGGACAGTTAAGCAAATAACAACACATTAACGCCTGCCAGCAGTCATTATAAGGTGTTTACTCGCTAAGACAGTTAAGCAGGTAAGAACATAGAAACAACTGTTTACGATCATAAGCAGGTGTTTATTCGCTATGACAATCAAACAAGTAACGACACAGCAATGCCTGTTAACAGTCGTATCCAGGTATTTACTCACTAGAGCAGTCAAGCAAATTATAATATAGTAACACCTGTTAACAGTCATATTCAATTATTTACTCGTTCTAACAGTCAAGCAAATAAGAAGATAACAATTCCTTAACAGTCATACCCAGGTGTTTCCTCGCCAGGACAGTCAAGCAGATAACGCAGCAATAGTTGTTAACAGTCATAGCCGGATGTTTACTCTTTAGAACAGTCAAGCACATAAGAACACAGCAACGCAAATTAACTGTCATACCCAGGTGTTTTCTCGCTATGGCAGTCAAGCAGATAACGCAGCAATAGTTGTTAACAGTCATACCCGGATGTTTACTCTTTAGAACAGTCAAGCACATAAGAACACAGCAACGCAAATTAACTGTCATACCCAGGTGTTTACTTGCTAAGACAGCCAAACAAATAACACAGCAGCGTCTGTTAACAGTGATATCTAGGTGTTTACTCGCTAGGACAGTCAAGCAAACAGCCAGATAAAAGTATCCCAAGAGTTGGTGGTGGGTGTTGTTAAGTAACTGTATTCTCTCGTCTATTAGCAAAAACCAGGGGACGACTATGCACAAATATCTTTTTGCGTCACTTTGCACAAAAATTCTAAAATAAACAAACTAAAAGTCCGAGAAAGTTTGATTACAAGTCCCTTGAAAATAGATAATCCTAAGTGTAAGATTACCGTCTTTGGTAAGTTTGTTTCTAGAGTTATAAGCCTTTAGGCTTACCGCTGAATCTAATTAAAGGTATCATAAAGCTGCTCAGAAATTTAAGAAGAATCAACGAAAGACGTTATAAAAATAGTATGCAAAGTACATCAATTGTTGCTTCAATCAGTAATACTAGAGTGAAAACCACCACTAGGAGGCAGGCCGACTTGCTAAAATTCCTTTGTTTGTTATTAACCCAAAAGTTGCACCGTCCGCCGCGGAAATTAAACTCCAAATATTAAGGTTATAAGATCTCAAACTTATTGCTGGGCAACTAAGAGGGGAGGGGGATTATTTTGACAATAAAAGTTACAGATGAAACAAAAGGGATGAGTTATAGGATTAATCATGCGGCTAGCTACAACCTTCTGCACAACATCAAATCAATTTATAGATACTTCGGGATGATTGTTTGTTTGTTTTGAACTTCGCGCAAAGCTACACGAGGGCTATCTGCGCTAGCCGTACCTAATTTAGCAATGTAAGACTAGAGGGAAGGCAGCTAGTCATCACCACCCACCGCCAACTCTTGGGCTACTCTTTAACCAACGAATAGTGCGATTGACCGTCACATTATAACGCCCCCACGGCTGAAAGGGCGAGCATGTTTGGTGTGACGGGGATTCGAACCCGCGACCCTCAGATTGCGATGCCATGCCGGGCTTATTCGGGATGAAGAAAAATCACCTCCTTAGTGGCTTATTTTATAGTTTTTATCTTCAATAAAACAGTTCGAATCATTATTACACATTAAGCCAGTGTATTTTCTTGTAGCGAGTTGGATATGACATAACGCTTAAAGATTGTTAACTCTAGTTAAATAGTAAAAAACATTGTTGACGTAATTTGCGGATAGTCTCGATTTTTTTGTCAGTTATAAAGGATTGTAATTCATATTGTGCTTTAGTATCTTTTCTCGTTTGAGATAGAGTTCAATGAACGTTTTAAGGATCATTTATCCCACATCAAGGAAGATTTGAATTTTCAAATTACACTAACACGAAGTTTAAGTTAATTAAATAGTTTAATTTCTTCTTGATGAATGCGTTTGCTCGAAGCATAGAAACAAAAGTGGATTAACTGGCATCCATATGACATATTTTATTACAAATAACATACTCCTTGTATACTGTGTCCAACTGCAATTGCGTTCAGTTATTAAAACTTTTTATTTAAAAGCTATATTAGCTTCCTTAAGATACTCTCACATTTAGGTTCGTTTTATTCTTAAATTGTTTATAGTTTTGATTTATCTATCAATTCTATAGTCAGGGATTAGTTTTCAAATAGTTAGAAAGTAGTTATCTAGAATCCGTACTTTTCATCAGTTCATGAACAGTGTGAACGAACGGCGCCTTTATTCCTTGAGTTCATCCGCTTTCTTCAAATCCATTACACACTTCTGTAACCATGACAACATTTATTCCATTGTTTTACGTAAATACGAGATTTAGCTTCCAGTAAACATTTTTTTTTTGGTTTAAATGTATTATTCCTTACTCACCACTAATAAGCTAGAATTATCCGTTCTAGTAAACAACTCAGGGCATATTATGTTTTAAACAAATGCATGTGATTTGATGTGTTTAATATTCACTGATCGCAGTAGCTGTTTCTATCTAGTATTATTTAGAAAAACATCCATTAATATAATTGATTTATTCACATATCTTGTATTCAATTTAACGAAATTCCTGGAACTTCGGCTTTATTTTTTAAAAAAACTGTCGTTGTTTAATTAGTTCCAGCGACTCATTTAGATTCAGTTCAGTATAATTACTCAGGGAACAATTAGATTCGGTCTCATCCTATAAGATACAGTGCTTATAGCCAATAACATGTTTTGCTGCACATGATAAAGTACAATTTTTATTTCTTATTGCGTGTTTGTGTTCATCAAAAAGATATTGTTACTTATCTGTTGTTTGTTAATTTCCGGTGGAAATTCTTTCCGAGAAACTTCAGCGATACAAGCCCTTTCTTGGTTAATCCAGTTTTATCTTTCTCGATACAAACTTTTAGTACACAGTAGTTCCCACTGTCAGTACGTTTCTCGTCACTTTAAACGTAACTACATTTATAATATACGCCATAAATCACAGTGATTCACAATCTCGATAACTTCGCTTTCTACGAGTGCAAAACACACACACTAGCTCGAAACAGAATCATAAATTACCTGGAACTCTCTTCATTCATTCCCGCAGGCTTTCACTGCCAGGCTTATATAATAACGCAGGGGGCGTCTCGAATACACTCGGGCCTCCGCCATCATTCATGATCATTCGAGAAATTCATCACGTGTCACCAGGGTCACGTGACTTCCGCTGTCCTAACAATATTTTAGATTACGAGTTGTCTGACCGATATAGATAATGTTGGGTTCACACTTTATTTTATAAATTCCGCTTTTGTCCAAAGTTGTTAAGTTACATTTCAAT